TAAAGAAATGTAAATTGAAATAGCTTTTTCAAACCTATAAAATGAACAAATGAATAATAATAATAATAATAATAAAACATACCTGTAGCACACACCTTTAATCCCAGCACTCAAGAGACAGAGGCAAGCAGATCTCTGTGATTTGCAAAGTAAACCTGGTATGCAGAATGAATTCCAGGACAAGACGAGCGACAGCGGGCAGAAAAACCGAACTCGTTACACATACCACTGAAAATTGGGCCTGGTGGTGCTTGTCTACAATGCCAGGTGACAGAGGGGAGAAAAATGAGACTCCTTGGGAAGGCAGAAAGGAAGACCCAATGCTCAGAAGGGTATGGACAGACAGACAGTCTCATACTTTATTGACAAAGGGTTAAGCTGCTGAAATCTCTTAGAAGAGAAATCCCACAGTATTCACCCAAATAGTAAACACACACAAGTTTGGGCCAGCCTTAAAGCAACCAAGACTGAGCCAAAGCAGCCATCTATATACAGGTTTCTTACCATTTGGGTAATGGTTTCCTAAACACATAAAACTACAGCTACATAGTCGTTTCTTATTGATAGTCTGTGTGTAGTGACACAGGCCTGAAATCCTATCCCTCAAGAGGCTGTGGCAAGAGTGTTCTCAGTTCCTGCCTGGGCTATACAATAAGATACATAGGAGGAAGGGAGAGGGGGAGGGAGGAAGGGAGGGAGAGAGGGAGGGAGGGAGGGAGGGAGGGAGGGAGGGAGGGAGGGAGGGAGATGGATTCATCTTGTGCTTAGCCTCAGCATTTGTAGCAAGTATGTTGCTGGTGGTTGAGAGCTAAATGTCACCCTTAGTTTTATTTGTGTTGCAGGAGTGTTTGTTTATCTTTGGATGCTGAATTCTATTGACCATTTTGTTGTGGTGAGTTTTCAGTTCTTCTCTTAAGGTCTGTTTGTGATTTAAGCTGCTGAGGTTCTGTTTGCTGATGTTTTATTTAAGATTTATTATTTATTTTAACTTTATTTTATGTGTATGAATGTTTCTGTAAGCATGTATTTCTGTGTACTGAGTGTGTGTTGTGTTTGGTACCCAGGGAAGCTGGAAGAGTGCATTAAGTCCTCTGGAACTGGAGTTACAGACTCCAGGTGAGTAGTACAGGTGAGAGCTGCTTTGTCAATTCTGGGAACGTGGGTCCTTGGCAAATGCAGATGCTTCTCTTAAACACCGACGTCGTCTTCCTAGCTCTTGTTTAAGATTGCTGACACAGACCCGTAAGTGAACTTATCACTTTCCTTTCTTTCCCTTTTTGTGAGTTATTTCATTTCTGTCATTTTATACTTTACCATGCTTTGAGACTATAATACGATTTCAATATTTCCCCCTTCCCTTTCCTCTTCCAACCCCCCCCCCCCATATATCCTTCATCGCTCTCCTTAAAATCCATGGCCTCTTCTTTCATTAATTCTTACTGTATACACATATACACACACATATACATAATACATACATACATGCACGCATACCACTTGGTACTGGACCAACAAGTGTTAATACTCTCCTAATGTATTTCTTCTGTCTTAACAGGAAAACATCCCATCGCTGAAGTTTTTAAGTGTAAATACTGAATTTTCTTGAGTATTTGTAGCTTTTTCCAGTTTACCTGTGCTCTCCTCCACATTCTGACTATTGCTGCCCCTCCCCCTAAGGACTGGAGATCCAACCAAGGCTCTGAGAAAATGCTCTGCCACTCAACTATAGCCTCACACAACGGTGACACTTCATACTCCTTTTCCAGACTATTCTGTTGTCTCAAGGACTTTAGGGCTAATGCTCCTATTTATAGGTCTTGTAAATCTCATGAAATTCTTTTTCTGATTTGGTTTATAATTTCCTTTATCTTTTTTAAACTGTGTTTTTTGTGTGTATGTGGTTCTGGGTATTGGATATATAGAGTAAGCTACCTGAACTGGTCTGAGTCTACCTTGTAGCCCAGGTAGGCCCTGAACTTGCCATCCTACTGGAATTAGAGGCCTGAGCAACCTGGTCTGCCTGGGTTCTCCTGACTTCTTAAGCTCATCTGTAGTTGGCACTATTTAATTTCCTAAGTTTCAGAATGAACAATTGAGTTTTAATTTTGCCTATGACAGACCAAGGAGATTTAGGGCTTTGAGATATCGGTTTTTATAATCTTCACTTTAGGCTTGGCTCTCTCTCTCTCCCACCTTCCCTCCCTCCCCCTTTCATGAGTAGTGTACCTCATACCCATACAAGGCATAAGGTGTTTGATTTGTACGGAGAATGTCCTAGTTAGGGATACTATTGCTGTGATGAAACACCGTAGTCAAAAACAAGTTGGGGAAGAAAAGGTTTATTTGGCTTATACTCTATATTGCAGTAAATCATTGGTGGAAATCAGAATAGGGACTCAAACAGGACAGGAACTTGGAGGCCAGAGCTGATGCAGAGGCCATAGAAGGATGCCACTTACTTATTTGCTCTCCATGGCTCACTCAGCCTACTTGCTAATAGAAGCCAGGACAATCAGCCCAGAAATAACACAATGGCTGAGACCTCCCCCATCGATCACTGATGAAGACAATGTTCTTCAGGCTTGTCTACAGCCGCCATGGTATGGAGGTATTTTCTCAATGGCAGTTCTCTCCTCTCAGATGACTTTAGTTAAGTAACACCCAACACCTGGACAATCTTTCTGAGGGTTTGTCTTAGTTCCATTTTGAAACAAGGTCATGTTGTGTATCCTGCCTGTGTGATCCAGGGTGGGGTTGAACTCATGATAATTTATCTTAGACTCCTGGGACTGTAGGCATACACCATTGTGTTTTGTTTTTCTTTTTATTAGTTGAGGCCCCAGTTAAACCACCCACTTCCTTCCTTATCCAATACCAATGGGAAGAGGGTCTTTCCATCTTACTTACCTCTTTAGGCCTCCCCAGCATTGGACAAACATCTTCAATCTAAATTCCTGTCTTTCTATAATTCAAGACTTGTATGGACTCTAACCATTCACCTCCTCCCTAGGGGGTGTCCAACCTAGGAAAGGATTCTGGGAAGGACTGCCTTTCTTGAGACCTGAAGACTGAACACATAATTAGGAACGTGCGTGTCTGTGTGTGTGTGTGTGTGTGTGTGTGTGAGAGAGAGAGAGAGAGAGAGAGAGAGACTGATAAGCATAAATATAAATAAGAGACCCAGAGACAGATATTGGTTTTCAAACTTCAAACTGAAAATCAGAAAAGCAAAGTAACCGGCCACTAGCTCTTACTGCTACCTCAGGCTGAAAGGGCTGATCCATGAACTCTCCACTGAGTCTCAAACTGCTGTCTCTCCTCAGCATGGCTGAGAATGAATGCCTCCTACTGAATACTGAAGACAATGCTTCTATCTTTTATACCCCTCTAGTGCTGGGATTAAAGGCTTGTTATCTGTTACATATTTAGACTGATTCAATCTTATGTCGCCCAGGGTGGCCTTGAACTCACAGAGATCCGTCGTCTACCTCCTGAGCCCTAGGATTAAAGGTGTGTACCACCACTTCCTAGCTTCTGGCCGCTTCAATTAAATGTGTGTGCCTGGCTTCTATGGCTTGTGGCTTACTTTGCTTTCTGAATCCTCAGGCAAGCTTTCAGAGAGAGTGGGAGAGAGTGGGCATGAGCGTGTGTGTGTGATTCAGTGTGGCGCATAAGTGAGTTATGTGCTTGGGGACATGGAAAGAGGCCAGCTCATGAAGGGCTTTGTATGCCAGGCTAGGAGGATGGGCCTCACTAGTTCTGAGAATGGCAGGTACATTAAAGGCAGCTGTGGGGTGAAATCATCAGGTTCAAAGGCAAACAGATCTTTCTATTAATAAGTATATGCAGCTTGCTAGCAAGTGCTCAAATAGACTTTGTACATAGGTGACAATCAGCATTGGAGCACCAACCTTGACATTCTGAACATAACACTGAACTAGCCAAAGGACTGGCTGACTGTCCTCAGTGCTGAGCCCCCAAGTCCCAGACACTTCCGCGACATGTTCTGTGTCCTGTCCATTGAACTAGGAGACGTTTGGGAAATGCACAGCTCTTTTGATAATTCCCAAAGTTCCTCTCCCTTCCCTGGCCCACAACTCCGCAGCAGCAAGAATCCCCCACCTCAGGGATCTGAGCAGCAGCCCGCCAAAGATTGAACATAAAACTGCCCTGGGCCAAGGGCCAGAGGGTCTATTTTTAGACCTTTTTCCTCATCGTCTGTTTATCCTGCAGACGGCCTGTGAGTTCTAGAAGAGTGTTAAAAGTCACCAGGCTGGACAGAGAAGGAAAGTGAGATGCTCTAAGACCAAATGCCAGTAGTAAAGTCATATGACACTTATTTCCTCCGCTTTCCCTGGGCGCTCCTGAAACGAATACTTTACTCCAGCCCTTTCCAGCCACGCCCACAAGATGTGTAAATGTGCTGTTCACAAAGGAAGGGTTAGCGATAAACTATTAAACTTTTGTTTAAAGTACGCGTGCTACAACGCTCTGCACCTTCTCTCCCTGCTCTTAAAGTTGGCAATGGAAAAGAGAGCGCCCCCTACAGCATTCGGTCATCTTGTGCCTGGTTACTCCGGCGGAGAGGCAATGCGTTCATTAACCATAAAATGAACAGTTTTAATCCAGGAGGGAAAGCGGCCGGCCCTGTGTCTCGACTTATATTTTCCCCGAGGGACAAAATAAGTGACCCGCTTGTAAAACGCGCCACAGAAATGCGGGCTGACTTGCAGTGACTTAACCCTTTGCACTCTGAGGGCTAGACCGCCCTTTAAGGGCGTCCTTCCGGGTTCCCCCGTCTGCCTTCCTTAGTCCTCTCCAGTCTCCAGATTCTTCGCGCCAGGTCGCTGTCCAAATCCGCCGTCCTCTCTGGAGCATCTGGGAGACCAAGACGAGGACCTCCGAGGCCGACCCACAATCCCTCGGCGGCAACCGCGCGGACGTCCTTAAGGGCCTCCGACCGGTGCCAATAGAGGCGGGCGTTTTGTTCTTATAAGGAGCAAAAAGTTTCCGTGACAACGCGGAAATGAGTAGCTCTGCTGCCCAGTAGAGCAGGGCGGGAGGAGTCCAGGAGGCGGGAGTTACCGCGGTCTGGTCGCCCGCGTTCCAGGATCCCAGGATCCCAGGATCCCCGCAGCCTGCTGTCCCGGGACCCCGACGCACAAGTGAAGCCAGGCCCACTCGGTCCCCCTGCGGCTGCCGCGGCCGAACGTGAGTGCGGGGCTCGAGTGTGAGGCTTTGCTGCTCCTCAACCTCAGAGTGTGTGGGATGAAGGGCGCGCAGGGGACTGGGTACTCCCGCAGAGTTGCGCTGGAAATGATCGTGGCCCGGAGCGCGGGGTGCAACGAATGCCGGGACCCTGGCCGGGACCGACCCTAGGAACTCCTTTAATGCACGCTTGCGAAGTGGGCATTGTCTCCCTCATCACTCTTCGTGGGCGATGCACTGGGGTCTCCCCGCCCCGGCGCCCTGGAACCCCTCGAGCGCTTCCAGCAATCTGGGAAGCAAGCAGCTTCTGCTCCCCGCGCCACAGGCTTCGGAGCCCCTAGCGGGGCCACGTGTTTGTGCCTAGAACCGGGACCTTCCATCTCCTAAACCGGGTTGGGTAGCCCAAGCTCAGTTCTGGAAGAAAGGAATGGGAATGACGTTTGTTTCTTGTAGCTTGTCTTGACGCAAGGAGGTTGCTTCAGGCCGGATGAAGCCCCTGCCACTTCCTCTTTCAGGACTCGCAATAGACCTTATGCTCTGCAAAACTTTCTCCTGGGCTCTAAATAGTTTCTGCCTTTGATTCCCAGCCCCATCCTGGGTTTCCCTCGTTCAGGCCTCCAGGTAAATGGACTTAGAAGCCCCTGGCCAATTCTCCATACAAAATGGGAAAATATTGACCGAACCAGGGAACGACTCCTTTAGCTTTCCTTACCCGGCTGCCTAGTACGAGAACTCTTTACGAAACAGAAAGGACCGGAAACTTGTACCATGTAAATCAATGTTGGGTGACTCTGTTGTCTTTCGGGTTTCTTTTCTTTACAAACCAGTTCTGCTTTGGAGAGGTTGCCGGCTAAAGCAAACACAGATGCTGTGATCATTGGTCCAGGTTGGCAGTGAAAGGGATGGCAGAGGCCACTGTCGTTCACCTCCTGGTGCCTGCCTGACAGCCCAGTATGCCTAAGTGGCCTGGTCATTTGCTGATTCCCTGAGAAATGCTGCTGCTCCAGGACATACTGCCTCCAGATTTTCCACTTGTGGGTAACCGAAAGGTTATTCCCGCTGTCTGGATGGATCCCCTGGGAGGATGGAAAAGCATTTGCTCACACACTGCCCTCTCAGTGAATAATTTTTAGACACACAGCAGTTTTCAGACTCTGGTTTTAAGGGAGTAAAGAGCTGAACTTTTAACCTGATGCCATCATCCCAAAAGTTGTTAGCTCTCTAGGCCGTGAGCGAAACATAAAGGGTGTGTGGGTGAGCTTTTTAATCAGAAGGCGAGAAGGTGCGGCAGCTTCTGGGAGATAATTGCCCACTGTCTGGAAGAAACCCAGTTTTCTAGTTTTCCCTTTTTGGACCCTCTGGGGTTAGTGTACAAAGGAATCCTGTTTGATAAAAGCATGCATTGTCTCCATGGAGACAGTGGTATGCACCTGGCATTCTTCAGCCTACTGGAGTGAGGTTGAGCCAGTGGCATACACTAGCCCAGTTCTCAAAGCCACTGCTTGGAGGCACACCGCTGGCAAACCAGAACTTGTCCAGAGGGAAAGGGCTAAGATTATGTGGACAGTAGAGAAAGTGTATCTGATAAAGAAAAAGGATTACACTATATGTAACCCAGGGTTGAGAAGCATAGGAGCATGGCTACAGCCGTCAGGCATTTCAAGCATTGAAGCCTGATAAAAGAAAATGGCTTGTTCAGTCTGGCTTCAGATTCCCTGCTTAGAACAGAGATGGGGCTCAACAGGGCACAGCCATCAGACCTCAACGGGCAATGTGCTGGCCGTCAGTGTGAGCAGAGGTTGTGAAGGGAGCCTTGCCTTCTGGGTGCTTGCCTCTGGGTCTCCATGCTTGGAGGTGAGAGGTACCTCCAGTAAGGGTCTGAAGGCACTGCAGTCTGTGAGGCTATAGCAGAGCAGTGTACTAAGCCACGCCAGGTTTTTCAAAGACGGAAATGTGGTTCGCTGATGTGGGTTCACCCTGGATGCCCTTATCCAGCCTTAATGAAGTGGTGAGGATATTGAGAGCTGATGGTAACCTCCAAAGGACAGTCCTCACTCTTAGCAAGGCGATGCTATACCATGCCATTTAACACAAGGGCCCCATAGCTGAGCGGCTGGGGGTCATCCTCACTCCCCCAGCCTGCTTCTCTTGAACAAAATACTAACTGCACAGTCATTGACACTAGCCAATTATTAAGAGTTTAACATGGGCCGGAGAGATGACTCAGTGGTTAAGAGCCCTGGCTACCCTCCCAGAAGGCCTTGGTTTATTCCACAGCACCCACATGGTGGCTCACAACTATCTGATAAGTCTAGTTCCAGGGGACAGACACCCCCTTCCGGCATCCAAGGATGCCAGGCATGCAAGTAGTGCCCAGACAAACATGCAAGCAAAACACCCATACACAAAATAAAAATTAAAAAAAAAAAAAAAAATGGCAGACTCATCCAGGTGGGGAAGGGAGGAAGGAAGGAGGCGAGCTCACCCTTGATGGTCAATGTGAGGCTTGGCTCACACATCACATGGCATTTTTGATTACTGAGCCGTGTGAGGTGGCAGATCCAGTTTGCATCCTGAGGTGACGGGGATGAGTAAGTGCCACCTGGGTGTGGTGCAGAAGGAAAAAGTGACAGCTACATGCCAGGTGGGGTTTCCTGAGAAGCAGAGGACGATGAGAGAGGTTAAACGTGCTGGCTTGCTCTTCCAGGCCTTTCCCCAGCTCGCCCTCCTCCTGCTGCTTCTAACCCCACTTAGCCACAGAGGAGACTGTTTCTCATGCTCCCTCTCTCTGCTCCAACTCACAGGTGGCTGAGCTGCTACACCACCTGTCTCAGCACTTAGTTAATTGGAAGGAGCGCTTTAAAACAGAGACCATCCATGCCTGCTTTCCTGCGTGTCTCACATCACAGGCCTTGGCTCCTTACAGCTATACCCGCTAAGAAGCCTACGTGTGCTTTAGAAGATGCCTCCTGGTAGGATTTCGCCCTTTATGCTTTTCATAATGCAGCTCTCCCCCGCCCTGCCCCATTTTATTTATTTGTTTAGTGCTTTGCAAACACTAACCCTCAATTACATATATTTGCACAAGGTAAACATTATACAGTCTCAGGGTTTCAGGGCTGTGTAGTCTGCTACATGCAAATCAGTAGGATATCCAGGTGACTTGGGCGAGTCAATAGAACAAAGCCTGGTCCTTAGCTGGCTCTAAGGCCCTGGGGAGTGGAAGGGTACAGATGGCCACTTAGAACCCCTGCTTAAGCCTGAAAGTGAGGCCTACCAAGGACAGTGTCTGCTGTGGCTGCCTCAAGCCACCTGCCCCGCCCAGCTGGCCTCGTTCCCTGTTCTCTGTCTGGGGCCACGCTGGGTTCATGATTAGTGAGCCATATCTGCAGTCCGCCACCATCAAGATGTGGCCTGCATGAGGTTTGGACTGGATAGGGCTGGGTTGAGTCCCAGCTCCTCCGTCCTATCAATGGGCGTTCTCCATGATTGGCCAGGTACCTTGTGTATTCCAAGTCTTGTGTCATCTGGAAAATCAGGATACACCATCTCAGGGAGGAGGTAGATAAAACCCCAATTCCCATCAGGCTAATGCTTTGTCCACTGAGGTCTGGATGAAAAAACAAGGCCACAGGGATCCAGGCTGTCCCAACCACCGGGACAGAAGGGGAGATTCCTTGTCTCCCCAAGCTGAGGACTAAGCTGACCTTCTGGCCAAAGCCAGTTTCAAACTTGTCCTGCAGCAAGTGCCCAGACAGGAGAGCAGGGTGGGAAGGCCTCTGCACACACACACACACACACGCACACGCACACGCGCGCACACACACACACACACACACACACACGGCTCTTGAGAGACCCTCTCTAATGTTTTGGGTGGTTTAGGACCCCATAGAAAATATATCCCCTCTATGCCCATGTGCCCCACCCAGTGACATCATTGGAATGGAAGCACCTCAGATGGCATCACGGTTGCCCAGGCAACACCTCCACCTTAAGGCAGACAGGAAGGACACAAACCACCCTCAACTGTAAGACACATGTTCCAGGACAGGGACCTAGAAGTTGTAGCTACCACAGGTGTGTTTCTCAGAGGCTGTGGAGAGGGTGGGCCATGGGTGGGAGCTGATGGTGTGCTCTGGGCTGTTGAACTACTTGGGGGAGGGTCTTGAGGCCTTGGTGCATGTCCCAAGAGGAAGAAGACACAGTGCTGACTGCCACAGTCTCTTTCTCCTCTGAGCCAGACTGACTCCATACAGGAGCTTCCCCTCCCACAGTTCCAATCTCCAAGAAGGAGTGTGGGTTACTGGTGCAGTGACAGGCAGCATCAGAAAAGTGGCTTTCCCTTGTGACCTACCCCCATGTCCTTACTACAAGAGTCCTTCATTGATTAAGCAAATATGACAAGCATGACTCTTGGGGATTCAGTAGCCTCAGGGAACTTTATCACCCAAGGCAGGGACAGGAAAGAATGTGTGGAAGCCACCCTCTAAGAGGTGCACAGCTACTTATCACCCAGCTCTTGAAGGCCCTGTGGGATTCTTCAAGCGCTAAATTAAGAGCTTGTGCTGGTATTTTCGAGACACTTGGTAGCTTGGGAACAGCAGTAAAGAGGACAGCCATGGTACCCAGGGACACACTGAGGACAGCGCTATGTGCCAGGCTGAACTCATGGCAATTGTGAGTCGCTTAATTGCTGGCCTGTGGCTTCAGCCTTGTCTTCTAAGGTGATGCCTGCTGCTGCCCTTCAGACAGAATTCCTAAGCAAGGGCTGTCACAAGCCAGGGCTACCAGTGAAAGATCGGGCTCGGGAGATCTGCCCTCCCAGAGAGGTAGAAAACCAGATGGCATGGCTGAGCTGTCTCCACAAAGCTTCAGAGCCCAAGCCCTTTCATCTTCAAAGGACCTGAGTGAGTCAAGCCTGTGTGGTGCAGCTAGACACAACTTCAGGTGCTTCTCCGGTGTCCAGGCCCCGATTCTTGTATGAGTGTAGCCAATTTTCA